CTCGGTTACCGAGCGCGACGCCTTTGCTCAAGGCTGCAGCGCAGCAGCTGCAGTGAGAGGGCTGCGCAGGTCGGGAGAGCTGAACGCAGCCCCCTGCTCCCGAGCCGAGCTGCAGGAAAGCAGGCAGCGCGGCAGGACCGGCCACACAGAGCCCTGGCAGCAGCTGCTCGAAGGCAGTCAGGGCTGCGATGCGAGGCGGCAGCCCCGGAGCCTCCACGCGCGGGCTCCCCGCATCGCTCCCCGCTCAGCAGGACCCCAGGCTCCCACGCTGCCCTCCACGCCAGCAGCAGCAGCCCCTTCCACAGCGCTCGGCTACCCCCTGAGGATGAAGCAGGTCTCCCTCACCCCGCAGCAGGCATGGTGCCTTTACAGCACATCTGCACCGCACTCAATCACAGAGCCAAAGCTGCAGTGCGGGGCTCTGAGCTGCACCACTAATATCTCCAGCTGGCTGAAACCACATGAATCCAGCAGACACTTCTACTTTGCCTCTGCACACCCAGCTTGCGACTCTCCTATTCTCCTATTTCAGCATCAGGAAAGGAAAGCAAATGCCTGCTTGGAGTAGCTTGCACTTCAGACCCTCTCTTTCCCCTGGGGCAGGAGGAGGCACACAGGCATTTCCTGCACACAGGTATCTCATGGAAGCCAAGCACACAGATGCCTGGCAAACTCTGCTACTTCCACCCTTCCCCTTCTCCTGGTCCCTGAACAGGGTAATGTCAACAGAACTCCACAGGTTTCTCCATCTATTACAGTAACCCTTCACTCACCACAACCCCTTTCACAACAAGCACTGCCCCAGAAACACCTGCACCCTTGGGATGCTCAGCACAAAGCCGAGACCAAGGTCTGGGTTAAGATTTTATCAGACCCTGGATCAGGATTTCTGTAATTCAAATCGCAGATCTAGTCCTGCTGCAGGTCCAGGACTCCCCACCTGGACCCAGTTACCCCAGACTGCCCCTCGTTACTGCTGCTCAGAGCGATGCCCACATCAGCACCAGCTTAGCTCTAAGCCCTCTCAGAGCCAACATTTTCTGCAGAGGCACCTTTCAAATAGTGGGGCCTCAAGTCAAGGAAGGCAAGTGCCTTAAAAGCACCGTGAAGCAATTTCACTACTCATTTTTTATTTTAAAACATGATTAAGGAGCCATTCCTTTTGATAGAATTCTATTTTCTGCTCCACATTTCTTTTTTTCTCTTTGAGAGCTTGACAAAATAAGATTTCTTTACCTCTGGCTTTTTTTTTCCCTCTCCCTGTCTGTTCCTGTTTGATCAATAATGATTCTTTTTTTCGCCTGTGTTTCTAAGAGAGATGACATGAACACAGCTAGTTCCTCTTCTCTCTCCCTTGTATTTGTGCATCAGAGCCATGCACAGGGATGGCAACTCTGCTCCGGGCTCTGTCTTGGCTAGTTCAATTCCAGCAGAACTGCTGGAGCTAGGAGGACAAGGGCATTCACCTGGCATAGCCAGAGAATAAGGTGGCTTTTGCCTTTAGTTCCCCACATTAAAATCCAAGGAATTAAAAAACAGTCCATAGTGAATAGAGTCTGAGTCCCACATCTTTGGCTTCTCATATATCTTCCTGTGCTTGAGGCAGATCATCATTTAAATAATGTCACTTTTTAAGTCAAGCCCTTCTTGACTATGCTCATGGATGAAAATGAGAGAAAAGCAATTTAAAACTATTAACATAATTCAGCAACTTAACAGATCTACAGGTTAAAAGAGCCTATTACATATAGCCATAAAGTTTCATTCAGTAATGCCTGCACTTAGCCCAGCATTTGGAGAGAACACTTTTTCAAAAGTAAATACCTCAATCTCAGTATTAAAACTAATATTAAAAAAAAAAAAAAAAAAAAGTACCTCTCACTTGTTTTCTTCCTCTGTCCAGTGCCTACCACTGTTGAACTGCCCCAGGACAGTATGTGGCTGCAAACACTTCCTCAGGAGAGACATGCCCAACAAGGAGACCCTACCCTTGCTCCTTACCTTGTACCTGAAGGCAGCTGCCCATCTTTATGACCATTTGGAGATAATGAAGTTCAGGTGCTCCCCTCTTCTCCTGGCCAGGCAGGTGATTGCTTCAACCTGACCCACATCAACCAAGTTCTGCTGTGAGATTCCTCATCAGCACAGCTTGCAGGGATTACAGGTCTTGAGTGTGAAACCAAAATGAAGAGGAGGATGGAGGGCAATGTTTTCAGAAGAGGGCTAAAATTTAGCTCCTGAATCCATACTTACCCAAAATAAATGCTGAATAGCATCCTGTGAAGTCAGTTAAGAAATCTGGTTCTACCTGGCTGCTAATCAGGGTCTCCATCCCACTGATTCAAGGTTCTAGAACAAGGATTCACAAAGCTCTTCCACAGACCTCAGTGGACACAGTTTGTTTGACCATGCACAACAAAACAAAGACAGTACCAGGCATGCAACAGGGCCATGATCCTCTGGCCTCTTTGTGAAAAGCGCTCCCTGCCTGCGTTTTCCTGCTGCCTTTCCTGGGAGCTTGTCCATCAGCGAGCGTTTGTAAGCCCTGCAGGATAACTGTGCTTGACCATCTCTTCTGGTGGTGCCGGGCCGGCACAGCGTGGCCTGTCCTCCAACAGCCTCACAGCAGAGCGGGCAGATGGTGCAGGGTGCTCTATACGTTTAGGGCTCTGGCAGAGCCCCAGAACACCTTACAGCGGCTGTGGAGAGAGCCCATGCATCTCCACATCATTTTACTGGAAACGGTGGGAGAACCCACCATTGTACTCCTTTTAACACCAATTTTGAGCACACAGAAGCCAGAAAAGTCTTTTCAGATTTACAACATGCTTTACATGCTGCTTAAGCTTTCTCTCCACTGATCTGCTGCTGGATAAAAGCAACGTTGAAAATATATTAACATGCCACTCAAAATCCATAGCTACATTAGTCATTCTGTCAGAGCCCTGGAAAGCACCCCACTAAAGTCAAGCTGGGAAACCATTTGTTGGAGCATCAACCGAAGCGGTGAGTTGCATCTCGTTGAAACATTCCTAAAAATATGATCAGGCAACTGCAGAAGCTGTAAAAGCCACAGGTAGTGCTGCAAACAGGGGATACGTAACCACCTGATTCTTCCAATTTATATCTGAAAGGCAGCCAGGTGGGAAAAGAGGATGAGTGATGTTCCTCCAGGGTAGCAACAGGGCTCCCAGAACATATAAATTGACAGTATTTTCCCTTCCACCATAGTGTGTAATTGGGGATTAGTCCAACTGAATGGAACCATTCTGGAGATACCCTGATCTAACCAGAATCACCATTTTGTAATCCCTGAACAGCTTCCAGGCCCAGAAGTCAAGCAATCGATGTTCTTAAGAACTTTCTGCCAAAGATAACACTGTTAAATCACGCTGTGTGCAGTATAGCCACTAGCCTAGAAAGCAGCTTACCTGAATGATCGAAGCATATGGGGCACCCAGCCAGATGCCAGGGAATCCAGAGCAGCTGAGCTGTAAATTGACTTGAATCAATGCCACTAGGTTCAGCCAAACACAGATAAATAAAGAATTATATACTTTCCAATAGAGGCAAAACCCAGGACTTTATCCTATATCCACTATGTTGGCCTTGGGGCACACTCCAAACAACTAATAAAGGGAAAAAATCTACAAAACCTTTTTACAAGAGACTGAAAAGGGGCATTCAGAAAGAGAGAGCAAATTGTTGTTCCTGCCTGCCCCTTCCAGACAGACAATAAGAGATAATGCATTGAGAAATGATGTACAGAAACCAATTCTGACGTACTTATTTCATTCTGGAGCTCAGGAATAGTTATAATTGAAGGAAAAGTTAGGCTAGGGTAGCGTAGCAGAAAAAAACGTTCTTGCTTTGCTCCTCAAACATTAACTGATCATGTGTGTGTGCATTGTGCTCCATTCTAGGGGCAGGAAAACAACTGATATATAGTGTCATTATAGCCTGCCTCCAGCACTAAATATTGTACCGGTTTTAAAATGTAGGGCAGTAAATCCAACTGGGGTCAGGAAATTCATCCTGGTTTACAGCGGGTTCTTCCTTTCATTCGCTGCCCTGTCCCCATTCATGTGCCTTCTTATTTAAGGCCTGTTTGTGCCAGAAAATGAAACTGCCCTCCTAGCCAGCCACATAAATACACTTGGAAAGATTCAGAGGAGTACACTAAACAAAACGCTGACCAGCCTCCACAACGGCAACTTTGCTGGTACAATCCGCTCACAAAGCGGGAGCAGCCCTCGCCTTCTGCGGGTGTTTCGGGCTTGGGAAGGGCCCGTTTTCACCCACAGGCCGGCAGGGAAGGCGGGCGCCCTGCCTGCCCACGACATGGCGGCGCTTCCCCGCCCACGCTGCTCTGCCGGTGCCTGCCACGGCTCCCGCAGCCCCGGGGCTCGTCAGTGTCCGCGACACCCGCGGGGGCCGCGGGCGGCTGCACGCTGTGTCCGCCGCGAATCCCGGGACGTGACAGGGCCGCCCGCCCCGCTCCCGCCAGCTCCACCGCGGGCTCGGCCAGCGCTGGGGGGACCCGTGGCGAGCGCGGGGCCATCGCGGCGGCGCGAGGCAGCTACAGGCCGGTGCGTGGCGCGGAGCGGCCGGGAGCGGCAGCACCACCCGCCGCCACAGGGCGGCAGCGCGGGCCGCGC